ATTAGTCTTTAATCATGTAAGAACACCAATACTTGTCTAAACGTGTGCTGTATTACCGTATATTTGTTTAGAGTGATGATGTAAGATCTATATCTGTATATACTCTTGTCTTAATACCTCAACGTATATCAGTCTATAGTCTTTTCTTTAGACCTGTCAACCAGTGCATAGACTTGACTGTCTATTGTCCTGTCTAGGTTAATCTATACCTGTCTATTGTCCTGTCTAGATTAATTTATACCAGTCTATAGTCCTGTCTAGGTTAATATATACCAGTCTATTGTCCTGTCTATGTTAATCTATACCTGTCTATATCCTGTCTAGGTTAATCTATACCAGTCTATAGCCCTGTCTAGGTTAATCTAAACCTGTCTATTGTCCTGTCTAGGTTAATCTATACAAGTCTATAGTCCTGGCTAGGTTAATCTATACCAGTCCACAGTCCTGTCTAGGTTAATATATACCAGTCTATAATCCTGTCTAGGTTAATCTATACCAGTCTACAGTCCTGTCTAGGTTAATATATACCAGTCTATTGTCCTGTCTATGTTAATCTATCCCAGTCTATAGTCCTGTCTAGGTTAATCTAAACCTGTCTATTGTCCTGTCTAGGTTAATCTAAACCTGTCTATAGTCCTGTCTAGGTTAATCTATGCCTGTCTATTGTCCTGTCTAGGTTAATCTAAACCTGTCTATAGTCCTGTCTAGGTTAATCTATCCCTGTCTATAGTCCTGTCTAGGTTAATCTATGCCTGTCTATTGTCCTGTCTAGGTTAATCTAAACCTGTCTATTGTCCTGTCTAGGTTAATCTATACCAGTATATAGTCCTGTCTAGGTTAATCTATACCAGACTATAGTCCTGTCTATGATAATCTATACCAGTCTATTGTCCTGTCTTGGTTAATCTATACCTGTCTATAATCCTGTCTAGGGTAATCTATACCAGTCTATAGTCCTGTCTTGGTTAATCTATACCTGTCTATAATCCTGTCTAGGGTAATCTATACCAGTCTATTGTCCTGTCTAGGATAATCTATACCAGTCTATAGTCCTGTCTATGTTAATATATACCAGTCTATAGTCCTGTCTAGGTTAATCTATCCCTGTCTATAGTCCTGTCTAGGTTAATCTATCCCAGTCTATAGTCCTGTCTAGGTTAATCTATTCCAGTCTATAATCCTGTCTAGGTTAATCTATACCAGTCTACAGTCCTGTCTAGGGTAATATATACCAGTCTATAGGCCTGTCTAGGTTAATCTATACCTGTCTATTGTCCTGTCTAGATTAATTTATACCAGTCTATAGTCCTGTCTAGGTTAATATATACCAGTCTATTGTCCTGTCTATGTTAATCTATACCTGTCTATATCCTGTCTAGGTTAATCTATACCAGTCTATCGTCCTCTCTATGTTAATCTATACCTGTCTATAGTCCTGCCTAGATTAATCTATACCAGTATATTATCCTGTCTAGGATAATCTATACCAGTCTATAGTCCTGTCTAGGGTAATCTATACCAGTCTATTGTCCTGTCTAGGTTAATATATACCAGTCTATTGTCCTGTCTATGTTAATATATACCAGTCTATAGTCCTGTCTAGATACCAGTCTATAGTCCTGTCTAGGTTAATCTAAACCTGTCTATAGTCCTGTCTAGGTTAATCTATGCCTGTCTATTGTCCTGTCTAGGTTAATCTATAACAGTCTATAGTCCTGTCTAGGTTAATCTATACCGGTCTATTGTCCTGTCTAGGTTAATCTATTCCAGTCAATTGTCCTGTCTAGGTTAATCTATACCAGTCTGTAGTCCTGGCTAGGTTAATCTATACCAGTCCACAGTCCTGTCTAGGTTAATATATACCAGTCTATAGTCCTGTCTAGATACCAGTCTATAGTCCTGTCTAGGTTAATCTATTCCAGTCTATAGTCCTGTCTAGGTTAATCTAAACCTGTCTATAGTCCTGTCTAGGTTAATCTATAACTGTCTATAGTCCTGTCTAGGTTAATCTATGCCTGTCTATTGTCCTGTCTAGGTTAATCTAAACCTGTCTATAGTCCTGTCTAGGTTAATCTATGCCTGTCTATTGTCCTGTCTAGGTTAATCTAAACCTGTCTATAGTCCTGTCTAGGTTAATCTATCCCAGTCTATAGTCCTGGCTAGGTTAATCTATACCAGTCTACAGTCCTGTATAGGTTAATATATACCAGTCTATAGTCCTGTCTAGGTTACTCTATACCAGTCTATAGTCCTGTCTAGGTTACTCTATACCAGTCTATAGTCCTGTCTAGGTTACTCTATACCAGTCTATAGTCCTGTCTAGGTTACTCTATACCAGTCTATAGTCCTGTCTAGGTTAATATATACCAGTCTATTGTCCTGTCTATGTTAATCTATCCCAGTCTATAGTCCTGTCTAGGTTAATCTAAACCTGTCTATAGTCCTGTCTAGGTTAATCTATCCCAGTCTATAGTCCTGGCTAGGTTAATCTATACCAGTCTATAGTCCTGTCTATGTTAATCTATACCTGTCTATAGTCCTGCCTAGGTTAATCTATACCAGTATATTATCCTGTCTAGGTTAATCTATACCAGTCTATAGTCCTGTCTAGGTTAATCTATACCAGTCTATAGTCCTGGCTAGGTTAATCTATACCAGTCTACAGTCCTGTCTAGGTTAATATATACCAGTCTATAGTCCTGTCTAGGTTAATCTATACCAGTCTATAGTCCTGTCTAGATTAATCTATACCAGTCTATTGTCCTGTCTATGTTAATATATACCAGTCTATAGTCCTGTCTAGGTTAATATATTCCAGTCTATAGTCCTTTCTAGGTTAATCTATACTAGTCTATAGTCCTGTCTATGTTAATCTATACCTGTCTATATTCCTGTCTAGGTTAATCCATACCAGTATATTGTCCTGGCTAGGTTAATCTATACCTGTCTATATTCCTGTCTAGGTTAATATATTCCAGTCTATAATCCTGTCTAGGTTAATCCATACCAGTATATTGTCCTGGCTCGGTTTATCTATACCAGTCTATTGTCCTGCCCAGGTTAATCTATACCAGTATATTATCCTGTCTAGGTTAATCCATACCAGTATATTGTCCTGGCTAGGTTAATCTATACCAGTCTATTGTCCTGTCTAGGTTAATATATACCAGTATATTGTCCTGTCTAGGTTAATCTATACCAGTATATTGTCCTGTCTAGGTTAATCTATACCAGTGTAACCCTGGTAAATACTAGCTGCAATATACCGCTCGGCTATAGAGAACTTCTCTTTAGCTCGATCGGTTGAGCGTAAGACTAGTAAGCCAGAGGTCCCGGGTTCGACTCCTAGCGGAGGCATTGAAAAAATAATGACCTCTGTTACATTGGCGCCCACGTAGGGACCCGGGTGAATTGACAAAATACTCAGCACTAGCTATACTTGCGAAGGAATGGCTATGACCGTGACCCCTGGAAGCTCGAGGACGAGTTCTTCCCTGGAGGGGGAGTATGTAACCCTGGTAAATACTAGCTGCAATATACCGCTCGGCTATAGAGAACTTCTCTTTAGCTCGATCGGTTGAGCGTAAGACTAGTAAGCCAGAGGTCCCGGGTTCGACTCCTAGCGGAGGCATTGAAAAAATAATGACCTCTGTTACATTGGCGCCCACGTAGGGACCCGGGTGAATTGACAAAATACTCAGCACTAGCTATACTTGCGAAGGAATGGCTATGACCGTGACCCCTGGAAGCTCGAGGACGAGTTCTTCCCTGGAGGGGGAGTATGTAACCCTGGTAAATACTAGCTGCAATATACCGCTCGGCTATAGAGAACTTCTCTTTAGCTCGATCGGTTGAGCGTAAGACCAGTAAGCCAGAGGTCCCGGGTTCGACTCCTAGCGGAGGCATTGAAAAAATAATGACCTCTGTTACATTAGTCTATTGTCCTGTCTAGGTTAATCTATTCCAGTCTATTGTCCTGTCTAGGTTAATCGATACCAGTCTATTGTCCTGTCTAGGTTAATATATACCAGTCTATTGTCCTGTCTAGATTAATCTATACCAGTCTATTGTCCTGTCTAGGTTAATCTATACCAGTCTATTGTCCTGTCTAGGTTAATCGATACCAGTCTATTGTCCTGTCTAGGTTAATCTATACCAGTTTATTGTCCTGTCGTTAGACCTATTTCAGCCTATAGTCTTGTCTTAAGACCTACATAAATACCAGTCTGTAGTCTTGTTGAAAGACTTATATCAGTCTATTATATCAGTCTACAATCGGGTTGTAAGACCTTAAATCAGTTTATAGTCTTGCATTTAGACCTATTTCAGTCTACAGTCATTTTAAGACCATATTGTAGTCTATAGTTGTGTCGTAAGATCTGGTCCTCTTTATACTTATTACTCAGTACATTTTCTATAATAAACAACAAACTCCTTATATGCAATTAACTTCTCGGCCTTTAATTATGCTGAATTTAAACGGTCCGTTCCTGAGCTGACCAAAAGCTAGAATTCGTAACAAACTAACCCTACCACGCCTTACGTTTCCGAAACAATCACATTGGTCGGCTATACAAGTGCGACAAATATTTCCCGCTATTCTACGAACGTCGGGAAATTTAAATTACTGCATACTCAATCGTCTCATAATAGAACATTGTGTTCAATAAATGATATGTCCCCAGTCCCCACCCACAGCTATTCCTCTTTTCATGAGCAGGCATGTAACTATATAGAAAGGGGAGATAACAAGAATGCTCATTTTGCGTAACAATATAGCATCAGGTGACCTCTAGATCAGCTTAAATAATAATCTAAAATAGTCATAGGGCGTCTTTGATATACAAATTTTGGATTGAATAATCGAAATGGCATTTAGTATTATCCATTAAATGATGTCAAAGGATATGTAAACAACTTACAATAATCAAGGCTAATGAAAATGACGAGGCACTAGCGTTACAATCAACAATATAAAAGTGTCTATGAAATTTAAGATTTTAGGTAGAAAGCATAGAGTGCAACTTCGCAATCAGCTCTGTAATAACTGTATAAGCAGCGTCTAGTATAAGAGCGGTGTAAATACGATGGTATTTCTCTAACGCGGACAGTCGCCTCTCATTCACCAGCACAGAGCGTTTGAGTTTTTCTAGTCTCGCTCGTTGTATGCATATCTCACCTTTGTTGTACAACTCGTCCATACACCTAGCTAATATGTAAAAACCTAATGCGTTGTACTTGACAGGCAGGGCTTCTACTTCTACAGAAAGTGTTTGAATCATCTTAGTGAGGAACGGATCACGCCAGAGCCGTGGGAGATCCTCACCGACGAAGTAAAGAAGTAAAGTTCGGTTCATGTCAGCTTGGTTCAGTATATTCTCAACGTCACACAGAGCTGTCATGGCGTCCTTGTATTCCCCATTTAGGTAATGAAACAAGGCAAGGTTGGTCTTACCCGAGAGTTGTTGGTCATCAAAGCCACTTATAGGATATACCATAGTTAGTGAATTCTTGTAAAATTCCTCTGCTAAGATGTTGTTATTTCTGACAAATCTCGGCTGTCTGTGTATGATACTCGCTAGTTGCCGATACAGGAGTGATCTGATACACGCTGTCATGTCTGGTTCTACGATATTGTCCAGATCTCTGATAATCATTTGATATAGAACTCGACTAACGACACTATCAGCCGCTACTGTGCAACCAAGCAGATAAAACGAAATCGTGCCGGACTCAACAAGAGGGGATATCAGGTCTATCTGAAGTTTTGTAGCGGATATCTTTTGCAAAATGTCAGCAATACCTTCATGCAAGTTTCTTCGTGGTCGTGCCAAAAGTTTGTCAAAGTGTTGGTCAAATGAATCGTCGCACCAACACCTCATAAACATCCTGGCGTTTACCGGAAAAAGAATGTACTTCTCAAGAGCATTTGCCATTCTGTCACAGTCTTCAATCTGCAGGTGGTCGACCAGATTGTTCTCTGGTTGGAACAGTTGTGGAAGATTCCGTGAACGGAGACAGTGGTGAAGATATGACAGACAAATCGACGTGCAATACAGGAAGTTTGTGTCGGTCCAGATACTTGGTTCTAACTGTTCACTGATCCACAGTAATGCAGTTTTTAAATAGTAGGATTTCAGTTCAGTCTTTAACTCGGCATCATCCGATTCAATTCGTCTTTTGACGATTTTGAGAAAACCATAACAAGCAAACTGGTTGTCGGAGAAGTTTCTGATTAAATTCTTTTCAACAGATGCAAATGAGATCCGGAACTCGAGCGATGGCGAAGAGCTGTTGGGATGACTGAGAGTGACAAGTACACAATTAATAGTACGCAGTCTCTCCAACGCAGACGAGTCTGGCCAAGTACGGCGACGGTTGAGGTACGCGTCCAAGAGATTGTGTGATTGTTCACATCTAATAGCATTCACAAAGTCATGTTTGAGGGTTTCGTTTGTCAGGGCAGGACCATGGACGGAACAATCGAATGGCTCCGAACTCTGTAAATCCGTGTCCTCCAAGAATGACATATTAAAAGTGTTAGTCAAGAATATGTCTCTATTTGTGCGCTCGGTACATTCAGGTGGCAGAACCAACGAGTCCATTCTGTTCCGGCGATGGAATTTGAGCCTGCAATACCCAGGATGGCAACCAGTTGTTTCTATGATCAGCATATTATCTAACAGACTTCCGTAAGAAGGAAAACATGCAGAAATATTCGTACTGGTTGTAACAATATCGGTATCGTTTGCCAAAAAACCTAGCCCTTCACCTCTGCTCAAATTCAAATGTTACAGGTGAAAACGGCAACACGATCTCCTCTGCACCTTCTACGGTTCGGGAAAAGAAATAATCGTATGTGTCCAGTTTGGCTTCTACAAACTTTCTAGACTCTCCGTACTCTTTCATGGCTTTTAGTAACACGTTATTGATAATGTGTGATAACTGTGACTGTTGCTGAATGTCTGATGTTGCTAGATCCTGGCGATGCTCCAGATTCGGAAATGTTAACATTGATCTATCGCATGGATGTAGCTGATGGTGTAGAAACGATTGAACGCTTCCTGTTGCCATGATTACCCTCATGTATCCGTGAATACACTCATGAGCACATGCACCAATGTACACAGTAATTTACGAGCTCATGAATTGATGAAAACGATTCAAATAATGAACATTGTGTCATTGAATAAGATTTCTGGATTTCATGAATATACTTACGAGATAACCGCGATGGCCAATTGTTTTTGGTATATTCTAAATGAATTTGAACTCTTACTTTACACTTTTAAGCAAGTAATATATATTGCATATGTATCACAGTTAGGTTGTGTATTCGTAAATACTACAGTGTATTCATTGTTCAGCCATTAAACACCACACCGTGCGCGATATCCTTACTGTAGTTGTAGAGTGGATGTAATGTTGGGATTATCCAAGGCGCATGATATCCTGACCATGAAACGACACATTTTAGTTTTAGCTCAGATACATAGACACAATATGGTGGTAATGATGAATAGGTTGTATTAGCATTGTTTTAAATAAGTCGTATTAGTAATGCTTTGGTTCCACCACGGAATTAGATTGCTATCTAAGTCCGTGGTTCCACGAATAACGTTACTGATACGTATATCACTCTGGTCGACTTTAGTACATGCGTTAGGCTCCAATAGGCACATGAATTCATGAAGTATACCACAATTGTAGGCGTCAGCATTTAAGCACGGTGCCCCTCGCAAAATTCTGTTTCCGGTTACCCTCCTGATCTGAGAGTTTGTGAATGCACGTGGATGTTGCACGCGTGAACGACGAGTGTGTCAGTTACAGAATAGGCCTGGCTTCCTTGCCATAGGTCAATTATATATAATTAGCCACGGTGACTCAGGAGCTCCAATATACAAGACATAAGAAATCGGAGTAGTGTCTACATAATAAACTGTAACATATAGTCAATGGTGTACGTCCCTGACATTTTACCAACAGTCCAGTGTTGAATCGGACAACCAACCTTATCTTAGACATCTGTCCTTTGCTTGTTGTCTAAGTCAACGTATCGTTTCGATCCTGGAACATTACGGCTATGGTAATGTGTGTGTCGACACCACTCGTTATCTTGTGTACTTCTATGACATAACCGCTTATGTATATGAGCTCCAGTATACAAAATCAGGAATGTATACCTGTATGCATGTATGACGAAAAACAGCAGTCTAGAGTGCGCAGTATGTGTCGCTTGAGGGATGGAAACAAACCTGTATACCAATAGTATGTTCTACTTATATATAGGTGTGGAACAAACGCACTGGACTCGAACGCGTTGCACATTGTATGTAATATACAGCATTGAGAAAACTTTTTCTATGCACTAATTAAATATATAGGTAAGGTGCATGGCACGTATATATCCCAACCCACCGCTGTATGAATACATACAGGCCGGAGGGTAGCCAGCTATATGTGTCGTGCTCCTGAACAATCATTAAAATAATATCTTGACAATTTAGGTGTCTTGGGGAAAATATGTTTTAAGGCTCCCAGTGCAAAATAAAACCATATAAATAATTAGACTAACTAGGAATATCATGGTATCTTGTAGGTTTCTCGTAGGTCCGACATCGTTAGAAAGCTTGAAGCTTGTTGTGATGCCTTTTCTTATTTACAATAACTTGGTTGTTTCAAGGTGTTACTATACGCGAGGTTAATTACATATATATCTTATATACATTATCGGATAAAAAACGTGTTATACACATTTTCAAAAACGGGTGCCTAGTGATCTGTTCAACTCTTTATCAGTGTCCATCGAGTTGTTTGTACAGGCGGAAGTTTCAGTACGAGTTATAAAAAACACTATGACGGGTAAAATGTTTCGTTTCCCTCCCAGTGTTTGTTTAGCCTAGACTTGAATATGTTGATACTGCTTGCTTCCTGATCGCGAGTTGTTTTACAAAAAAAAAAGAAATGTGTACCTTCAAGGTTAACAGTATAGGAGTATCCAAGCTGCTGAGAAACTTCGACACCTCCAAATCCTGTGGCCCGGATGCCATCCCAAACACAGTCCTAAAGACATGTGGGGACAACATCGCCCCAGGCCTCAGCATCATCCTCCAGTACACACTCGCCCCAAGCCTTAGCATCATCCTCCAGTACACACTCAGCACTGGTACACTACCATTTCAGGACTCATTTCATGTGAATCTCAACTTGTCGTGACCATGGACGACCTAATCAAGTCACATGATGCCAACAAGCAGGTGGACTGTGTTGTGTTGGACTTTTCCAAAGAATTCGACGCTGTGCCCCACTCACTCCATGCTGCTTATGAAGGTACGCACCTATGGCATAACAGGGCACATACACGAATGGCTTACCCATTTCCTGACTGCAAGATCTATTCCGAGTGATACTGGAGGGGGAAATGACAGAGGAAGTACCAGTGGAATCCGGTGTGCCGCAAGGAACCGTCCATGGACCCCCATACTCTTCCTCTGCCATATCAACGACCTACCGAATTGTATCAAGTCCCAAGTCAGGCTGTTCGCTGATGACTGCCTCCTGTACCGTGTGATCCATAGCCTTAGCAACCATATCATCCTCCAACAGGAACTCGAGGCTTCGGCCAGGAACACGGGGATGAGGTTTAATGCTCGCAAATGCTACCTGTTGAGCGAACGCAACCTGAGTCAACATTAATATTTCTACAGTCTCAACAATGCCATCCTTCAGCAGGTTGACTCTACCCCATACCTAAGTATCACCATCTCCATGCAGCGACCTTAAATGAGGAACACACATATATTGGGAAAATTGCCAAAAAGGCCAACTCCACCACATGTGGCCTTTCTGAGAAAGAATCTGAGAAGTTGTCCACAGCAGTATAAGTGCACAGGGACATGATAATTTGTTACAAAAGTGTTCAGATTAATTCTACATGTTTTAGGGGTTTCACTCCCAATGATAAAAGTATATGATCATTGGGGTGTCATTTTTACCGAATTACTCTGAACACCTTACAGTAGTTTAGGTCCAAATATAGCTCTAAAAAATTCTCAGGTCCCTGTGAGTACACATCCCTATAGTACGGCCCATAATGGAGTATGGAGTGATTGTGTGGGACCCCTACCAGCAGGGCGACATTAACTCCCTACAGAAAAGCAAGCATCGGGCAGCCAGCTGGTTCATCACCGGGGATTATAAATCCCGTGATGACGACGTCATTACATCCACACTGCTAAAATTACAACTTCCCCCTCTTCACGACCGACGCCGGAACTCTCGTCTTACATATTTGTATAAAATTACTGAATGGCTAGTGCCAGCCATACCACCAAACCAATATCTGCAACCAAAGAGAGCAGGCCGTAACATCAGACCTAAAACTTGCACATACTTTTAGGCCAGTAACATAGTAAAACAAAGGTATTTTGACAGGTGTTCTATTTCTTGATTTTCGAAAGGCAATCGACCTTGTGAACCACTCTATTTTAATGTCTAAATTGGAATTGTATGGGTGTTCATCCAAAACAATGATCTTTTTTCAAAGTTATTTGAGCGGGAGATTTCAAATTTTAAACTTTAAGAACACTTTGAGTGATTGTCTCCCTCTTACAGTCTGTGTCCCTCAAGTGTCAATATTGGGGCCACTTTTGTTCATTTTATATGTAAATGACCTGTCCCTGATTACAAATCAAAGTTCTTTGTATATGTACGCTGATGACACCGCAGCGCAATCACAAGGGAAATCACTTGATATTGTAAATACCAACCTCAACGGTGCGATGAAAACAAAATGTGTGTAAAAAAAAAACAGAAAAAAAAACGAAAGTCATGCTTGTTACTACTTCACAGAAAAAATGTAAATTAACAGAAGAGTTGTCAGTTGTTATCAACAATATAAACATGGAAAATGTAAAAAGTGAAAAACTTTTGGGAGTGTCCATAGATGATGGCTCTCTTGGAACATTCAATTTACAAATGTCTGTTAAAAGATATCATGTCAATTTTTTCAGATGAAAAAGTTGAGACCCTTCTTGAGCCAGTCATCTTGTTTGCATTTTTTAACTGCTTTGTTAACCCACATCTGGATTATTGCTCAACTGTTTGGGGTAACAGCTCAAAAAATAATATTGTAAAATTAGAACGCCTGCAAAAGAGAGCAGCCAGAATTATTTTAAAATGTGATTTTTCCACACCTTCCTGTGATATGTTCAAAAAACTAAATTGGTTACCTTTTCACAAGATAATTTTATATGGAATCTTTTACCAAGTCATATTAGAACTTGTACTTCATTTTTAGCATTTAAGAGATCTGCAAAGCAATTTTACTTGAAATGATTTATGATTTCCTCCCTTATCCTGTATTTTATACATGTATATTTCTTAAAGCTGTAAATATTGTACATTTTATCATACATTGCATCTTGACCATATGTAAGATGAGCTTCATGCTCAATATGTTATCAAGAATAAATAAAGCCTTTATTATTATTATATATATATAAAACGGTCTGCGTGTCAGCATACAAAAGTTTTCCAGATACCAGAGACGTATAATGTATTTATACGTCTCTGCAGATACCAACAGCCAACAGTGACCAGTATACAAACTCGTTCTTCGTCAGGACAGTTGCTGACTAGAACCACCCCAAAATTCAACAGTAAACTGTGAAAGTGTCGAGGAGTTTAAAGCATCCCTCGAACCTCAGCGCGACTATCACTCCTAGCGCACTCTCTCCCTGCTGCAACTTTACCAGTTTTGGGATCTAGCAGCGTATCCATACAGATCTGATACATACAGATACAGATACAGGTACCTGCTTGATTATTTGCAAATTATAATAAAATGCATATGAAAATAATAACACGTGCTCGAAAGCACATTAAAAAATAACTACGTTCATTGATATTAAAATCGTGTGCGGTAAAAACGTTAAAATATTTTCCGAATTTTCAACCCAACTCCTATTTTTATTTAGAAATTATATGTACATGTCCAATGGACGTTTGTATTGAGCACAATTTGAGGCAAGCGTGTGGCTGACTTTGATCACAACATGCAGGCTGTCATTGTGCGACATGTGCTGAAATAAAATTCATGTAAAGCAACGATATGCAGGACTCTAGCGACCGGGATGAAGTTGAAGGGACAGCACGACCCCAGTTTGGAAATCGTCTCCTAACAGATTCCAAAAATGTGTTTGAACATAATGCATGGTAGGCCTATGTGAAATCACGGAATTAGAATGCTATCTAAGTCCGTGGTGATACAGATACAGATACACTAACAGAAGCTTTATTTTACGTCGAATATTATAAACATACAACATAAGCTACGAAGAGCTTTTATTTCGACAAACACATGTAAAGAAACAAAAAAAAAAATACATAACAAGAAATTTACAAAATACACATACATATTGAAACGTTAAACAGTAAAAATATGAAGCATATAATGCTGAAATAATATCGTAACAGGTTTGGCGCATACAATGTATATACATGTATATGGATAACAGTCACGGACTTAGATCTAATTCCGTGGTAACAGTACAATAAAATACATTGAAATGATAACACAAAGTTTGTTAATCGTTATGATAAAAAAATCGTCCTTCTTTCAATGTAATCCAATACATATATATAGTAGGACGAGGAATAGTGATAAAGGTCCATTATTGCTCCATTTCGGCGGCCCGTTACTGGCGACCTGGCGTAAAACACACCTGTTCAACGTAACATTGATTAATACATTCTTTTGACTAATCTTTCTATTATATGGACCATTTCATAAACGATAATAATTGGAATGGTATAGATTCGCGGTCCATTTCGGCGCTTTTTTTTCTCCATTTCGGTCATTCAACTCCATTTCGGGCATTACCATGTCAGTCCAGCCCGATGGCTGATGCTCAGCCGCTGAGCTAAGGGAAATTCCCTGCAGCTGACGCTTGTAAGGCAACATAATCAATGCACATCTTTTAAACTATTATCCCCTTTTCTCAAACACCAATCAATTTTCTTTGACTCCCCGCCAAGGGTTCACCTCAAATGGGGAGAGTCAAAGACACCAATTTGTAGTAAGATTGATTGATTGGTTTCACGTCCGCTTCACTACCGAGTAGTTCGGTTATCCAGCAGACTTGTAGTAGGCCTAGGACGAGGAATAGTGATAAAGATAGTGCTGTCGCTGGGGCTTGAATGCCAACCATTGGCTCTCAAGCCAGATGCTCTACTGCTGAGCTAAAGGGAAAATTCCCTGCAGGTGTCGCTTGAAATGCAACCTAATCTGTGCACATCTTTTACACATAATACAATGAATGAGGTACAATGGTGCACAAAGATATGTTCATTGAGTTGTCTAAATCTTGGTAAAAAGGACAAAATGCTTTACTTGTGTTGTAGCACAGAATTGGATGTTTTATCATAAAAATGGCACACCCATTGATGGTATATATATATGTACTGATAGTTTAACCGAACGTTGATCGTAACCACTAAAACCTGTAATATTACAGTGAACACTTCAGTTTAGGTCCATCTATAAAGCTGTTACCCATTCTCAGGTCCCTAGTTACAATCATCCCACTTAACCTGTTTACAGGCAACATTAAAGTATATGCAAATGACGTACAGCTGGCTGTATATGTTACTGTCCATGTCTGTCCAGCACCAGTGGTTAAACAGACTACAGCTGGCTGTATATGTTACTGTACATGTTTGTCCAGCACCTGTGGTTAAACAGACGTACAGCTGGCTGTATATGTTATTGTCCATGTTTGTCCAGCACCAGTGGTTAAACAGACGTACAGCTGGCTGTATATGTTATTGTACATGTTTGTCCAGTACCTGTGGTTAAACAGACGTGCAGCTGGCTGTATATGTTATTGTACATGTTTGTCCAGCACCTGTGGTTAAATAGACGTACAGCTGGCTGAATATGTTACTGTCCATGTTTGTCCAGCACCTGTGGTTAAACAAACGTACAGCTGGCTGAATATGTTACTGTCCATGTTTGTCCAGCATCTGTGGTTAAACAGACGTACAGCTGGCTGTATATGTTATTGTCCATGTTTGTCCAGCCCCTGTGGCTAAACAGACGTACAGCTGGCTGTTTATGTAATTGTCCATGTTTGTCCAGCCCCAGTGGTTAAACAGCCTACAGCTGGCTGTATATGTTATTGTACATGTTTGTGCAGCACCTGTGGTTAAATAGACGTACAGCTGGCTGTATATGTAATTGTCCATGTTTGTCCAGCACCTGTGGTTAAACAGACGTACAGCTTGCTGTATATGTTATTGTCCATGTTTGTCCAGCCCCAGTGGTTAAACAGCCTACAGCTGGCTGTATATGTTATTGCACATGTTTGTCCAGCACCTGTGGGTAAAAAGACGTACAGCTGGCTGTATATGTAATTGTCCATGTTTGTCAAGCACCTGTGGTTAAACAGACGTACAGCTGGCTGAATATGTTACTGTCCATGTTTGTCCAGCACCTGTGGTTAAACAGACGTACAGCTGGCTGTATATGTTACTGTACATGTTTGTCCAGCACCTGTGGTTATATAAGCTCTCTGGATGTACTGTACAATTAGAATTCTTTCACTATATCAAAGTTCAATGGACATATTTTGTTTTGAAATGATACATCCAATTATATACATTACATTCAACATGTACTAATAGCATTGAGGATTACTTTGAAAACCATTTGTTGCCAACAATTCTTTTAATTTTACTTACAGATGAGTGCCCTGTTAAGAAATCTGTTTAGAAAGACTAGACTTCATTTATCTTTGAGAATACAGATACGCTCCAAGTCTGGTTCTGCCCATATATTCAACAATACTTCTGTTTACTGTAAAGATTCCAGCAAAAATAGACCTCCTTATGGAGCAAGACCCCTGGTCGACCCTGATAATGTCTTTCACTTCAACAACTGGTAAATCCTATACATTACATCATTATAGGCACTTAATCTCATTACTGTATCAAACACATATAGTTGTATGGTATTTTTAGGCTATAAAATCAAATATAAGCAATGTTCACATCAATATTGTTGAACTCATATCAGTATCATTCTACGAGTATGAAGCAATTCAATGCTCAACAATACATGTTAATGATACATCTTATGTTGCTATACATATGCTATACATGTACATATTTATTCCTGCTTGGAATCCAATTTTTAGACAGGCTAGTATACTTGTATTAGCACTGTTTAAGCTTCCAATATTCTCAAACAAGTGTTGGAACCAAACCATTTATTTGTAGTACAGGTGTCCTTCAAATATTTTATAATTTATATTAGTACTCAATGTATTTGAAAAAGTTTTTAGATTACTTTAAATTTAATAACTTCTCATTTCCATCACAATCAGGTTGGACTGAAATATTTATTGTATCATTTGTAGGGCTGTCACAATATATCGGAAAGCAGGTATATCGCAATACACTGGTATACCACAGTACAGAGATGAAATATTGCTGTATTGCAATATTTTTCAAAAGCTTAATTTTATGTATCTGCTTGGTGTTTTAACTTTGCAAATTACTACAAATTCTAACAGATATGACAATAAGCATAAAGCAGGCATTTGATAGTTTAAATTTTGTAATCAGTGGTTGGTTTGACAAAAATCTTAAATCTATGTAATCTGTATTATATATGATTAAGTTTGATAAAAAATAACATTCTTACAACAACTTATTATGAAATTGAGCACATCCTTCCTGTGACAATCTATCGGGATGCGTATTGCAATATATCGTGATACACTCTTGGCGTATTGTGACACCCCTAATCATCTGTCAATTAAAAAACATCTCATTGAAGAAAGAAATTATGAATAAATTGAAATAATTGTATAAAGTGTAAGCTATCTAATTGTTGAAGTCTCCTTATTATACATAATGACAAACACTGGTACTGATAGCATACAATGTATGTATTTTGTATTCAGTTGATGAGGACACTGTGTTTTTTTATTCAGGGACAATGTTGTGTGGGATGAAGAACAGGAAACAGATGCGAGGAGAGTTACTTCACAGCAACTGAAAGACCAGCTGTCGGAAGAAGATCAAGGTGGGAATCAAACCTAGTCATGTATAATGGTCTATCACATAACAATTAATGTACCAGTTCAACAATTAAATTACAATAATTCAATATACATTAATAATTCATATACATGTGACCAGGATCACATTTAGAAGTGCCTCCAATATACATGTATTTTGTACTTCATTTAGGTAAAGTAGTACATGCTCTTGTCTTCATCATGAAGAACTGTTTCACTCCTGTTTATTTTTCAACATAGGATATTCTCCCTTATGTATACGTAGATGGTTAAGCTGCATACAAATCATTTCCGGCTTGAATAACATCCATGGGAAAAAAACTTTCATTTTAATACTTTGTATTTACGGTTTAAAAATAGCTACACATTCGTATGTATGTTTGGATTGGTCCAGATTTTGACCCTTGAAGTTTGTTTTTCTTTTTAATTTCTTTTTCTGTTTTCAAAATATTCAAATTTTGGAACAGCTGTAAATCTATAAAATGCATTGCAAGATGTGTTTTATAATATATATTGAATATTTTCATGAAAATGACATATGATATTGCATCAATATAAAATGGAAACAAGAACTGTACAGTGCAAAGTACTTAGCAATGGTACTACCTCTGGATTTCACTATTATATTATGGCTCTGCCTTAAAGGAAGTTTTCCTCTGGTATTACCTGGAAACACTATCAGAATTTTCTGAGGAATTCTGCCATGATTGATTTCATACATCTGATATGTTACCAGGTAAATGTATTTTGAATTCAGCAAAGAAAAAGAGAAAGGAAAAAAAGAGTCTAAAGATGGCATCATTCAAAAACTTTGGACAGTAGAATAGTTTAAAAACAGAATAAACATGTATGTTTTTGGACTGTTAGCTTCCATATTTTGCTGTCACTACCGGTGTACCAGATACATGTAAATTAAAATTGTATGCCTTAATTTTCAGACAAGACAAACACACGTAGCTTCACTACTGTAAATATTGAAACAGTACTACAAGAAAAAGTGTAACTTTATAATACTGTCTGTCACCAGCTGCAGTTACTCAATCTAGGGAAGATCAAAATTATTCTGTAATTTTGAATCACAATTGTAGAAACAGATAAACATTGTAAAGGAATGATAATGAAAATATGTGTATTTTTTAATTTTATGTTTTCACTTGTGACAGTTGAGTATGATGTCAATGCTGGCGATTACTGGAACAAGTTCTACAACCAACACAACAACAGGTTCTTCAAAGACAGGCACTGGCTCTTCACAGAATTCCCCGAACTGGCACCAGAGGGAGCCCTCGTCTCTCCTGAAGGATCAAATGACTCTCAGATGAGTAATAACAGTTGCAATAAAGACAGTTTAGAAAGTAATAATCTACTTGAGCAAGCACCTTATGCTGCTGTTGGAGGCAGTGATATCCCAGGAGGTGTGACAAAGTGTTACTCTGAAGGTCAGAGCAAGGACAAGTGTGACTCTGTCAGTGACATTCCTCAACAAGAGCCAAAAGTTACTGTAGATGACCAAAATAGTTCTAACACTTGTGATAGCGAGTCAAGTTTTCCTGGACAAGATGCAAAGTTTCGAATATTTGAGGTTTGTGAAATTGTATTAATCCTTCAGTCACCATGTATAAATAGTGATATTCCTTTTTTCATTGTTCTCTTCTTACTCCTGTGTTATGCCATTAGTCATTTTTGGCATTCAGATCCAGATGCAGGCAATAATGTCCACCTTTCCCTCAATATTGGACCAGGTATTTTTTCAGCATTTTTACTCATCTAATTTTAATAATACTGCATGAAGATATTCACTGCACAAATTAAACTTTTGATATTTATATATTGCAGGTTGGGTGTGGTGTGGGAAACACTGTGTTCCCTGTCCTTCGTACAAACAATGACCCTAACCTGATGATTTACTGTTGTGATTTCTCCTCTACTGCTATACAACTTGTGAAGGTAAGGAAATGTTTGGTTAATGAACTACATTGTACTCCTATTTGTGTAATTTGTGTAATTGTAAGTTAGAATTATTCACATGAGAATTTTTCTTGTAATTTTATTTTCAACATGCCATGCAATTGTATTTAAGGTTACACTAAAAAGGTACTACATGCTGTCTTCCTTTTTGAAAAATATGCTGTGAAAAAGAAGGACATGCATTTAATCATGCAAATTTAACCGTATTTTTTAAATAGCTGTATGCATGCTATTTACTTTAAATTATTTCTTTTAAATCAGAATTATTTAAGAACAAAACATTTTTGCACCAACTAATTGCGACTCCCATGGGTTTTTCCCCCCTTATTTTTGTACAAACTTCATGATCACCATTATCTTTATCAATATTTTTTCTGAAAAGTCATGAGTACATACATACATGTACATAACTGATTGTGTTGTTATGAATTTCTGGTATCATTGTTATTGTAAGCAATATATTATGATTATTATTATTTGTCTCCCTAGGAACACCCGGAGTACATCCCGAGGAGGTGCCACGCCTTCGTTAGTGACATCACAGACAGTTCCACTCCCTTACCCTTTCCTGAGGGAAGTCTAGACCTTATCATCCTCATCTTTGTTCTGTCGGCTGTCCATCCAGACAGGTATGATATAGGTATACACAAATAAGTAGCTCTAAATAAAATCTGTTTTAGTGGGGAAAGAACAAACAAGGATAAAAGAATGTTAAGTACTGGTTCTTTCTGGAACCAATTATCTTTCGTAAAAGCATATACTTTACCAATTGTATATTTTACTTGTAAACAAGATAAATATTATTTGATAAACATTCTATGACAGATTAACATGTTTTGAAATCATTATGCTTATTATTGATATAATTCACCTGTACAAAATACAACAGAACCTTATCTTGGGCTAAAATGATGACACTGTCCTCCTTTAAAAGTTACTTCACGGAATCATTTGTACAGATGACGATGACAACACCAATGTTAACTGAGTGATCCCTTAACCTATTCACGCCGGAAGTCACATTTGAACCTTACAAAATCAAAGACTGGGCAAGTCCAGTTTAAAAATGTAGGGGTGAATGACTTAATGGCTTCTTTGTTTTGCATTTTAAACAGAACTAGAATTTTCCCTTCCATTCTCGTACCTGCAAGTATCTTATAAAATAGTTCCTCTCATCCCTCTTTGCATGTGTATTTTATATTTACATTCATCAGTATTTGTTTGTGAAATTTCAGAATGCAAGATGTCGTAGATAGGTTAGCCAAACATCTTAAGCCTGGAGGGACCATCATGTTTCGTGATTACGGCCGCTATGATTTGGCACAGCTACGGTTCAAAAAAGGTAATTTGTCTACAGAATCATATCATTTTGCAACTACATGTATTAAAAACGATTAATGCATATCTGAACAAGAGAAGATGCATTCCATCATAAGAGAAATTAAGTGTAACTGTAAAAATTTGGACAAACAGTTGTAATATGTAATTATTTTTAATATCTAGGAAATGATATTTTCATCAAGTCTCATGAAAAACCATGATTACTTTTTGTTTACAATTACTTCACCAGAGTCAACTGAGAACAAGAGTTGATAATGGAAACATATATTTCTTAATTGCTTGCAATCAACACCTGAACCTTGTGTTTTTGATGTATATAGAAGTGTATGTCAAGTGAATGAATGGTTTGTAAACACAGGTAGATGTCTGTCAGAAAACTTCTATGTCAGAGGAGATGGAACAAGAGTGTATTTCTTCACACAAGGTAACACAATTTGTTTTGAATGGCTGATATCACTACAGGATGGTGTTTTATGAATATTTGATAGCATTTAAGTAAGCTAACAGTATAAGTATATAAGCTTACAGTAAAAGTAAGCTTACAATATAAGTATAAGCTTACAGTATTTGCATACTTCTGAAATCAGAAGTCCAAGTCTTATCCGCTTTATGACTAGTTAATGAAAATCGTTCATATTGTTATAATAGTTTCAAAATAAAAACTTAACAATTAAATCTTCATGTATAGTAATCTTTTAAAATCATTGACAATAGATAAGAACAAAAAATCTAAATGTTCAGATATTTCTCATAAATTACATTTTGAACATTTGTGTTTAATAAATTAATAAAACTTGGCCCTGGACTAATTGATGAAGTGGTTCAATAAGTGATACCTGAAGGGTTTACCCATAATGTCTATAGCTGGTGTGTAAATTCTGAATGATTTTAACGAGTTATTTTGATGAAGTTCTCCAGTGTATTTTATATTACAATAAGTACAGCATTCATTACCTCAATGAAGTTTCAAATGATTTAATTAAGGATAAAGGATCAGATACATAAACTCATTCAGGGCAAATAATTTTAAGTGACAGAAGCCAAGGTGCTAGGATGAATACGGTGGATGGTGTATTTAGTTTTTTTGTACTTTGCTACTTTCCAGATGAATTAAAAGACATGTTTACTAAAGCTGGATTAAAAGAAAAACAGAACTACGTTGACAGACGACTCCAGGTAAATAGAGGGAAACAACTGAAGATGTACAGAGTGTGGATTCAGTGTAAATACACAAAACCTGATCATGACCTGCACGCCGGTGAGGAGGTCACGGGTGATGGAAGGGAGATAATTCAAGATATAAAACGTGATTCCAATAAATCTGACACCACAGAAACAGAGCCGGCTTCTGGCGCTGAGGCACAGTCACCTCACTTACTTAGTGAATCCCCTTCATGACAACAGAGACAGTTAACTGATGAATGGTGCGACTAATAGTCATCAGCATGTAATGGAATACATGGAATGGACATTTTCAGGTGGATTTTGCTACCATTTGACATTTAAACTAATCAATTCAGCACTGTGAATGTGGATAAGTGTAGTGTATGTGATCTGAAATGATGTTGTTTGATATGTCTACAATTTACATGCATATTTTATTTCAATAAAGACAAGCAGATGCCAACCCAGCAATTTATTTTTCCAGTTATTCAACAATTTTAAAGATTAAAAGAGCATTAGACATATTTCATGTTCTTAATTAGGGCCCCGTATCGGAGATACGGGTGCCCTATAGTAATCCCTCTGTCTGTCTGTCCTTCTGTCTGTCTGTCTGTCTGTCTGTCTGTCTGTCCACAACTTTTGTTCCTGGCTGATAACTTTGGTATCTATGGACCGATGTACATGAAACTTGGTCCAGATGTTCAGTTCACAAAAATACACATTGAGGTAAAAAGTCAAGGTCAAAGGTCAAGGTCATTAGGTTCAAAGGTTAAGGTCAAATTTTACATCTTTTCACTGATTAACATTTTGTTATGACATTATGGAGCAAAGTTGATTAGAATTAAACAAGGAGTCAACTGACCTAAGGTCAAGGTCATTGGGTCAGGGGTCAAGGTCAAATTTTGTAGCTTTTCACTGGTGAACATTTCGCTAAGACATTATGAAGCAAAGGTGTTCGGAACTAAACAAAGAGACACACTGCGGTAAAAAAGTCAAGGTCAAAGGTCAAGGTCATTAGATTCAAAGGTCAAGGTCAAATTTTGCATCTTTTCACTGATGAACATTTTGAAATGACATGAAGCAAAATTGATCAGAATTAAACGAGGAGTCGACTGACCAAAGGTCAAGGTCATTGGGTCAAAGGTCAAGGTTAAATTTTGTATCTTTTCACTGGTGAACATTTCGCTATGACACTTTGAAGCAATGTTGCTCAGAATTACAAAAGGAGTCAATTGACCAAAGGTCAAGGTCACTGGGTCAAAGGTCAAGGTTAAATTTTGTACCTTTTCCCTGATGAACATTTTTTTATGGCATTATGAAGCAATGTTGTTCAGAACTTAACAAAGAGTCAACTGATGAACATTTTGTTATGATATTAAGAAGAAAAGTTGGTCTGAATTAAAGAATAAGTCAACTGACCAAAGATCAGGGTCACTGGGTTAATGGTCAAGGTCATTTGGGTCCAAAGGTCAAAGACAAAGTTGACTTTGACCCTGGCTCTTGATAGAGGAGGTTTATAAGGTGAAATAAAACAAATCAAAGCTAACAAATGAGTGTTGCATTGGTATTTGAAGGTAGAAGGAAACTAGACTCATATCATAGTACATGTAAAATGTATATTTTGCTTCCTTGCGATTCTTTTTGAAGTCCAAATGTCAAACTTCAAGCTCAGCTATATGGGCAGATCGTTTCTTGATGATTATGGGGGATATATTGCCACAAGACGGGGCCCTTACTGACCTGTCAGTGTTCTAGATTGTAAAAGGCGCACCTAAACTTTCATGCTTGTTGTTTATTGAGACAACAATTGATGATGTCTAACAAAAGAATAAAAGTGATCAGTCTGAGATCTGTGTAACCATGTGTGGCAAACATAAGAAACAATTATTTGAAAGCAGGCTCACTCTCTTAGTAAATGCACTGAGATCCTATGTATATAAAAATATCATCCAATATAATGTTACACAAGCCAAACATTGCACACATGCAGCAAGGATTGAGATTTGTCAACAAGTATTATATGTGTGATTATAGAAATAGAAGAGTTAAAAAAAAATCAATTTGTTTGGCATGGAGATCTTGATTTGTTTGAAAAACAAACTTTTAGACTTGTGTGACGCTCACTCCGGAGTCACAGTCAAAAGAAAGAATGTAGTAAAATTTGTGTCCTGAATATTATTTTATACATACATGTACATATAGTGCTGTGAAATTTAATGAGATATGTTGCACTCTGCCAGAAATAATATACCAAGGTGGCAAGCAGAATGAGCTACAATGTAGTATGTATTCAGTACGCATGTAAGTGTTATTGTTTGGGGAGTACAGAGGTGGTCAGTGTGCTGTTGACAGCTTCCTGGTCTTGTGGTAAGTTGACAATATAACCATTCTGTAGGCATTGGGAAGTATCCTTTGACGTTCCCTAATTCGTAAGTTATCACTCATAATAAACAGCTAGAATAAAGAGTTTGTTTAAAATACATCAATGAAAATGTCAACAACAAAAAAGCTTTAAACAACAAATTTATTGTAAAACAACTTCTTAACTATATCATGTCTATAAACAACTTGAACACTTTAAGATTGCAACAACAGTCAAATGACACAACACGTACCTCAGTCTGTTAAAAAGGTGGTGAATAAATCAAGTCTCTGAAGTATTAATGTGATCATGTGATACAAAAGGTATTGAAGGAGTTGAGACTCTCGAGCTCCTATAAATGGGAATTTTCCTTTCACCACACAGAATCACATTTAATCGGGTTTGTCCACTTCAGCTGTCCTATATCTGAATACCACTTTTTCTGCACTTCCTTCGTGTTACTACGTTCCAACTGTACAACACGTGTCTCCGAGCCTGACAACTGTATGTTCACGTTTTGTCTCCAACACCTCCAGGTTTGTTTTTGTTGTCCCTTTGATTTTTGCCTTTCCGTTGGCGTTTGCCAGTTGCTGATCCCTGCTGGCCTGAATCCCTGCCATGTTTGCGTGAGGATGTACTGCTTTGTTGTGATGATGATGTCCACAAGACATCAACATATCCTGGAGCCTGATACCTAGACAGGCGGATATAATCATTAATAAATATTTCAGACAGAAAGCAAATCTTCAAGATCATTGTAATTATACATTTTTTATTAAGGAATTTTAAAATATCTAGCTGTTAAGACTAGTACTTATAGGCAAAATGTTGCAGAGTTCAGAAAAAATGAAAATGATCAATGAATACTCACCCAGGATCAGTGGTGTCCACTGGTACCTTGGACAGGAGGATAGAAATGGCAGGTATATCTCTGTTCACCTTCAGTCTGAAATGTAATCAAAGGTTATTCCTGTTTACTGTGGATCTATTATCCCTAACTTTCCGTTTCTTACAGGTGTCACCATATTTCGTTATTTGATTAATCTTGCAACACTTTAACAGTATACTATCACTCTAACCAACACGGCTACCAAGGCCTGATCAGTGAAATAGTCCTGGCCAGATTTAATTGTGCTAGTTATATCCAAAATGAAATTAAGGGGAGGTTACTGTATATATGAAACAATGAGTGCAATTGCAGGGATCTTTAAACATAAATCCGTTGCATATATGTAAAATGAAGTCATTGCTGACTGAAGATATTTTTTGAAGGGGCAGACAAAAATAGAGAAATCAAATATGCCTATTTAACTGAATTTATATGACAGTAATTAGCTTATGTCGAAACTTTGCTCACCCTGGCAGTAGTTAGCACAATGACTTAACATGTACACATGTGTACTTTAGTGATATACAATGTACACATGTGTACTTTAGTGATATACAATGTACACGTGTGTACTTTAGTGATATCCAATGTACACATGTTTTCTTTTAGTGATATACAATGTACACGTGTGTACTTTAGAGATATACAATGTACACGTGTGTACTTTAGTGATATACAATGTTCACATGTTTTCTTTTAGTGATATACAATGTACACGTGTGTACTTCAGTGATATACAATGTACACGTGTGTACTTTAGAGATATACAATGTACACGTGTGTACTTTAGTGATATACAATGTTCACATGTTTTCTTTTAGTGATATACAATGTACACGTGTGTACTTTAGTGATAGAAAATGTACACGTGTGTACTTAAGTGATATACAATGTGCACGTGTGTACTTTGGTGCTATACAATGTGCACGTGTGTACTTTAGTGATATACAATGTGCACGTGTGTACTTTAGTGATATACAATGTACATGTGTGTACTTCAGTGATATACAATGTACACGTGTGTACTTTAGAGATATACAATGTACACGTGTGTACTTTAGTGATATACCATGTACAGGTGTGTACTTAAGTGATATACAATGTATATGTGTGTACTTTAGTGATATACAATGTACATGTGTGTACTTCTGTGATATACAATGTACACGTGTGTACTTTAGAGATATACAATGTACACGTGTGTACTTTAGTGATATCCAATGTACACATGTTTTCTTTTAGTGATATACAATGTACACGTGTGTACTTCAGTGATATACAATGTACACGTGTGTACTTTAGAGATATACAATGTACACGTGTGAACTTTAGCGATATACAATGTACATGTGTGTACTTCAGTGATATACAATGTACACTTGTGTACTTTAGTGATATACAATGTACATGTGTGTACTTCAGTGATATACAATGTACACGTGTGTACTTTAGAGATATACAATGTACACGTGTGTACTTTAGTGATAGAAAATGTACACGTGTGTACTTAAGTGATATACAATGTGCACGTGTGTACTTTGGTGATATACAATGTGCACGTGTGTACTTTAGTGATATACAATGTACAGGTGTGTACTTCAGTGATATACAATGTACACGTGTGTACTTTAGTGATATACCATGTACAGGTGTGTACTTAAGTGATATACAATGTATATGTGTGTACTTTAGTGATATACAATGTACATGTGTGTACTTCAGTGATATACAATGTACACGTGTGTACTTTAGTGATAGACAATGTACAGGTGTGTACTTCAGTGATATACAATGTACACGTGTGTACTTTAGTGATATACAATGTACACGTGTGTACTTTAGTGATATACCATGTACATGTGCTAGTTAGTACACAGCAATATTTTAGTTTAAAAAATTGAACAGAATATTCTTTTTGTATCCAACATTGCATAGCTTATTATTAATACCTCAAACACTTGATATCTCCCAATTTCTTTTCTCAGTAAAAGTGTATCGATGAGTATAACACATAACAATGTACCACTTACCTGTCTAGTCCCTCAACCTTTGGTTCCCAGTATTCTTCTACTCTGAAAACAAATGAAAAGTTACGAACAGAATTCAATACAACTGTCTAGAAAATAGCAATAGATGAGAGAAATATATATATATAGATTAGCATTATCAGATTACTTCTACAATTGAAAATACTAACCACGATGTTCAAAACCTGGATTTTCTATCACGATTAGTGATACCTATTTTCATTTTACTTTTTTGAGAGATTTCTCAGAAATTACTGTTAGTTTTGTCAGTTTTTTTACTCACCTACATGTAGTTTTAGTTTTAAATTACAATGTTTTTTTACTCAGTTTAAATTCTGGTGTTAATAACTTGTTAAGTTAATAAGGTTACAAACACACCAGCACCAAGAGGAAATATTTTACCTTCTGTTCACAAGCTTTGTAATCTGATGTAGTGTCTGAAAAAGGAAAAGGGAGGTCATTTTTATCTAACACACAAAATGTGTATAGTGTACGTTGTATTTATGTACAATTCATATGACTATTCCACTAAGAGAATTTAAGACACAAATTCATGTGTACTTTACATGTATGTATACACTTCGATCCCTAGCTGCCTCTTCTCCTAGCTAGGGTATTCAACAAAACACATATACTAACCACTTACATTTATACACATAATTTGTTTATGTACCGGGGTACTTAACGGCGTATTTGCATGCGTGTATGTAAACTCTATGCCACTTCCACTGATACACAAAGCAATATTAACATGCGTATGATATAATGTGTGATTACACTAATTATCTATGTTTACTCAACTGTATACATGTATGTAGTTGCAAATTTCTATTAGGGATTTCTTTTTGTTGATTTTGCAAAAGCAAAACAATTTGCAAATCCAAGTAGGTACATGTATATACACATGTTACTCACGAAATTGTTAAAGTTTTGAGAAGAAAGTTAAAACAAAGGAGATGCTGATGTTGAAAAGACGACATTGTCAACTTTTGATTTAAGTAGGGTAGATAAAGTTTTGTATAGCAATTGAAATAATGAAATAATACCCATCAAAGTTAGCAATTACAAAGTACACAAGCCTGAAAACTACAGCATTTTTAACATAAAAAAATCTTTAATTGTACACATTGTACTCAAATTTGTTGAAGACAAATATTTTGCATTGACAAGTCCAGAGAGTTTGATGTATATAAGACATTGGAAGTTAACAGACAGTTGATACAAGCCCTACATTGGTTACCTCCCTTAGCCACCTGCACGCCGTACTTATAGGTAGTAAGCTGTGTTCATATGGAAACCATTCCATGATTTAGAATGCATATTAACATAGATGTTTACCACACATTGTAAGTTATAAATAATTATTGAACTTTAAGCTGAGTCAATGTTTACCTTATTTTTTCTCTTCATGATCTCTGCACATGAGATTGCTTTGGGTATGGCTGGTCCTGATGCATTCCACGTCATCTGTTTTACTTCTGGTTCCTTGAAAAATACAAACTTGTATTTTACTTTCAGACTTGGGGTCTATTTTGAATACTGTTGGGTATCCATCTTTGATTCCTATAACAACTGATCTAAGACCAAAGACAACCAATACGTTGGTTCTCTTCCAGTCCGTTAGGAGTCCTATTTGTAATATGATAAAAGTAACGTTACAATAAACCATGCCTGGTTAATCCCAGGGGAGCTCAATCAGTTTACTGGGAATTATACTTCAAGTATGGATCAGTTAGAAGCTGAATTAGACAAATTAAAGTCTGCCCCTATCCATTCATGAACAATTCTGGTAGTTAGTGGCCCTTGCAGCTTCATATTTCTACTACCATCTGACCTAGTTACAATGTACTTTATTTTTTTGTATTGCCCTGGCTATGTATAATGATCAATTTCAATCAATTAAGCCTAAAAGATATTAAAATTTAGGTTGATTAGACACCAATATTAGCCAACAATGCTCACCATACAGATATATGAATATGAGCTGTCATGAAGACTGAAATTACATATATTAAACATTGAAAAATCTGTCTCTTTTGTACAAAAGCAAGTGTTGTACATTTAGTATACATGATTCTCATGCTTAAGGACTTAGTTAGGGTTAGTTCTTTTTTTTCAAAATATAAGATTTTCAAGTTGAAATAACGCAAGATTGTAATTACCACGTAATCATGTCCTTAAGATGAATACAAGTAGTATAATATTGGTCGATATATATAAATCATCTGAATGAAAAACTTGAAGATCAACTCATTCACCCCTGAAGACACATTTGAGCTCTGCCAATTCAAAGGTTGGAATAATCAGGGGTGAATGAGTTAACCTCATATTTCTGTCTCTTAAGGCTTCAAATTTGAGTACTTCCTCCTCAGACACATTAAAATCTAATTTTTTGTGCTACCTTGATTTTTTTCATAGAATATCCAAGTAGATTCCTGAGCTTGCTTCCTGCTGAAACTTTCATCTCCACACCAGAATTATCTAGCGAAAATGGTACGGCCATGGAGACCTCCTGTACCTCTCCTTTAGTGTAATTCTCCATCTATAGAAACCTGCAAGATTCACCTCAATGTAAAGGTAGTGATGGGTGATCGGTGAGACTCAATGCATACAAGAGTATACTGGTGCAGCATCAGTCACCTAGAAAAGTGAAAGTAGGGAGAATCATCAAAAACATTCATAAGCAATGCAGAAGAAAAAACAGAAAAAGTGTTTAAGTGAATACATGTATATATATATTCAATACTTTGTAAAAATATCATATTCACAGGCATAAAAATTTTGGTTGGTTGCCTGCAGCTGTTAGTGTTTGCAAGAGCACCCAATATAAAAAGAATATTTGAAAAAAAGGTGCATGTCATATGTGTATATATGTGTGTGCAATTTCTTTGAAACCTCAGAACTGACCTTTCTTTAAGAATCATGTATCAGACATCTACTGGTGGAATAGCCGGATCGAGCTATATTTTGGCCAACGTTGTCAATAGAATAGCTGACAAACATGCAGACATAATGTCTGAAAAGCACCCCTATATATATACACCTCCCTTTTTAAATATCCACCAACAGATAGATATACATTAGTGTTATGGATTTTTGGACATGCCTTCATGTGTGTAATGCATGTGTGCTGGAGGCAGCTACGGCATTATGTACTTGGTGTATTTGCCTCCTTGTGATCGCGTGAATCTGACTTTATACGAGTAGTGCTTTCTCACAGAAACACCATGCCAATGGCACCAAGGCCAGCGTATAGCATTCCACCCCATCACATTATATTAACAACAGAGAGGAAAACTCATTGTTGCCATTACCCAAAATGCTGAAGTTTAAGCAGAGAACAACAACCACCATTTTGGAGGATTTTGGTATGTCCCGGCATGGGGACAGAACCCAATGCCTTCTTCATCTGGGCAAACGTTCAACAAGTAGTAGCGGAACTGGGATGAACTAGGTTGATCGTCAGCGACCAGATAGCTCAATTGGTAGAGCGTCCATCTAGACTATAGCTCTGATGGTCCCTGGTTCAAATCCAAATATGTCCGTTAGCCAAAGACTTGGACACTAAGACAGAGAAGGGAGGAATATAGCGGAACTGGACTGGGCAGATTGTCTGCGACCAGGTACAAAAATTGAAGCTCAATTGATAGAGGGTAAATCTGGAGTTTGGAGAGTCCCAGGTCCAAAACTCATACTTGCTGTGCATTTCTCAGTTCTGACTACATTTGGTGCCTGTGACCAACTCTTATACCAGAACCGGGATGTAAATAATGTTGTCTCCAGGGCGAAAACTTAGAAAAGGGAGGGAGAAATGTAGTGGAATTGGACTGGGTCGATCATCGGTGACCAGGTATACGTAGCTCAATTAATAGAGCGTCCATTTAGTGTTTGGGGGTCCCGGTCTGGCTGTGCATTTTTCCCTTCCTACTACACAAGTATTTACGATACGGCCATTAGCGAGGAGTTGCCAAGGAGGATTCCTAGGAAATGGAAAGGTAGTTATGAAGTAGAGAGAAGATGTTAAGATCCCAAACGTTATGGGTTAAGCAGATTGATTAGAGTCCCTTTGTGTCCCTGTAATCTACGATCTGTTGGGGAGTAAACACATCCTCCATGGGCAAACACTAGAACACATAGACCAAGCAAAATACCTGGGTGTTACAATCCAATCTAACTTAAAATGGGACTCCCACATAAATAATATTACCAAAAAAACAAATTCTACACTTGGCTTCCTCCGTCGAAATTTAAAAATAGGTTCAACATCAGTTAAGGCACAGGCATACAAATCATTAATCCGTCCATCCTCACAGTATGCCTGTCCTTTTTGGGACCCATACACCAAGGATAACATCAATAAGATTGAAATGGTACAACGCAGGGCTGCTCGTTCCGTACTAAACAAAAACGTCTACACTAATAGAACATCCAGTGTCTCTGATATGTAGAACCATCTTAAATGGCGATCGCTTGCCGACAGACGCAAAGACACAAGCCTATGTATGATGTTCAAAATTGTGAACAATCAGATACAGCTCTATTAGTAAACACACTAAACTTATACCAGCAACCAGGCAATCAAGACATGCCCACCACCAATCCTTCCAAATACCACACTGCAGAACCCAGGTCAGAAAACAGTCCTTCTTTCCACGATCAATATCTGATTGGAATAAGATCCCACCAGATATCATATCCTCCTGTTCTACTACTGCTGTACTATACTGAATCTTTTAAATCTGCTCTCCTGTAACTGTACCCTCAAAATTAAATCTATATACATGTATATATCATTTTGGCTTTATCGGAATCGACTAAATCTCTTTCTCCCTCATGACATTATCTTCAACTTGTTGAAGTTGGTCATTACCATTTAGAAGTAGAAGAGTACCACGAGTATACGTGTAGATAAAATCAATGTACCGGCATCGTACCGTACGTCGTGTTCTTGTGGTGGAGGGTACGAGTGCCTGTGGATATATTTAGATCATTAAATGTCTATGAACTTACTAATCATGTAGGGGTGAAGTGATAAAATTATCTTACAACTGTTTGCTGCTTTGTTACATCTTCACCATGCAATTTACAAGCGTTCTGTAAACATGGAAGAAATCTTGGTGACGAAAACACTTTTCTACTTCAAAACGAAAGTACACTTTAATAATCGACCGGACACCGATTTCGGATTAGTATGCAAGCTATGCCTGATAAAACAGTGATGGATTTCTATTTTGTTCAGAGGCTACACCAAATATTTATACACGATGTACTTTTTTTCTCCAAAGTTTAATGTAACACTCAACAAAACTCAAACAACATTGTCATTTAGATATAAGAAAACACGGGGAGAAAACACTACTTTACTAAAAGAGTCTCACCCCTTGACCCTAAAGTGTGTTTTTTATTTTACCACCTCCGCAAAATCCCAAGTTGCAACTTGCAACGCTCAGCGGAAATATACTAGCATAAGTTGCATAATTATATTATTGACCGCTCGTTATAGATGATCTGAAAATTAATACTTTTTATTGTAACCTTCCTAACCGCCCGGGCGATATTAATCATATCATTATACAAGAACGATAATGGGTTTTTTCGGCTGACACTATTATGTATAATCACGGACTTGGATAACAATTCTAATTCCGTGGTATAATCGACTAAACATATCCATTCAATTATTTTGGTATTATGTGGTACTTATAGCGTATAATTACCATCGTGTACGTACAAGAAAATATCTTCACACAGCATACTATTGTGTACGTATTAATAAGTTGTACGTACCAGAATGAGATGATATGCTGTACTTACAAGTATGATAATTCTAATTTAAATTTAAAGGTGACGCTTATGTGCCTCCTAAGTTGTACCATTTTAACCAGATAGCTTAGCAAATGTACCACTGTTGGTAATATGCACGCCCTTACATGAGTTAATCAGCGTGGACATTTCAGATATATCATTGTCTACACTAGTGAATTAGTCAACAATTATAAAACGCGAGACTTTATAGCTAGTGGCCTTGGGTGTCGCACTGATTTGAACTTATCCGTTTGTTTAGCAACTTAGTGATGCCATGAGTAACTCATTAATTAAACAGCAACGATGTTATGGTGTTATTTGTT